TGGTGCACTCCACTCAACAGCGCTCTCTCCGAGGGTTCTGTCACTTCCTGTCGTGGAGTCTGAAGGATTCGGTAACCCTTTCCTGTGACATTAGGATCAGTTGGATGGTAACAGGAAAAATGGAGAAACACTGGGATAATTATTTCAATAATGGGATTTTCAGTTTACTTTCAGATCCAGTGTCTGTCCTCTTCTTCCACCTCACTTTGAGGTGACATGGCGAAACGGCGAAATTTAGAGGTGAATCTGTCAGAATGTGTCCATTTGCCATTCACAGTCCATTTGTCAGGTGGGCTTTGCGGCTCCAATGGTTGCTGTTTTGGATGCCTAGATACTTTGTTTTTCGCACGTGACTTTAAAAGAGCCTGGTAGCTGCGGGCGCCAAAGCCGTAGGCCCATAGGGACAGCCCAAAACCAAAGTCTACATGTTGACGACATCTCCATTAAAAACCAAAATCATGCAGCAACAAACCAACACTTATATATGTAACTTATATGTTCATTATTATCTTTTTTAACATTACACACCGCCAACGGCTCCACTATGCACAAACATGCACTATGCCACGATGCTCCACTCTGGACGCCACGCCATTCTCATTCTGATCATTCTGAGCTCAGTACAGCGAAGGCGGAGATCCCAGCTCCATCATCTCCAAGGGGAACAAAGTGAATCCCAAACGCGTCAAGCCATAAATCAAAAGGAAGAATCCCAGCTGAAGGAGGCTGCGTGGCAACAGCAGTGAATCCATGCCGATGGAGTCCGACAAAGGTGGCAAGGCTTCAAGGCACGTCGTGCCGTAAACGGACAACGTGAGCTCCAGCTGCAAAGAGCTTCGGATGGACGTGCTGGAACCCACGGACATGTAGTCCAAAAGGAATGGAGGGAAGTCCAAACATGACAGTCCATAGATCAACAAAGAGAAGTCGAGTCTGGCAAAATTGTGTGGAAACGGCAAGAAGCCTAAATTGCCATGGTCCAGCAGTGACAGCGAACTTTCAAGCCTGACCATGCCATAAGCGAACACAGCCGACCCCAAACATGCAAAGCTTTGAAGCAAAGGACTTGAGCCACCAAAGGCAAAATCTGAGATTGGCAATATACTGCCCAGACTTACCATGCCATAAGCTGGCGACAAGAAACCCAAGTGACAGAAGGATTGGATCAACAGCAGAGGCTCCAAGCTGATGAAATCCAAGGCGGATGACAACGAGCCTGACTTCGTGATTCCGTAGACCAGCACTGACGAACCAAGTCGCAAGGAAGTTTGTGGCAACAAGCTCGAGCCTGAACTCAGATAGTCCGAGATTGACAAAGATGGCCCAGGTCGTGTAAATCCATAGGGCAATATGGCAGAACCAATGCACACATGACTTTGTAAGAATATCAAGAAACCAGGATTGATGTGATCCAGCACCAACGACACTAATTCAAGTTGGCTGATGCCATAGACTAACAGTACAAAACCAATCCGAGCGAAGCCTCGCATCAAAACCAAGGGTCCTAGAGATAAACAATCCAAGATCGGTATCGATGAACCGAGTCTCAACAAACCAAAAGGTGACATGGTGAATCCAAGTTGCACGAAGGATCTGGGAAACAAAAACAAGTCGATGTGCAAGACATCCAGCAATGATGGCAACAAGTCCGATCGTGTGATGCCATAAATGAACATTGCGAAACCAAAATAAACTGAGGATCTCGAGAACGATAAACTGCCGAGGTGCACAAAATCCAAGGTCAATGGAATGGACCCAAGCCTGGTTAGGCCATATACCAATAGAACTGAGTCAATCCTCAAGAAGCTTTGCGGTAAGAAACTGGAGTCCATATGCCCAAAGTCAAGCGGTGACAGGAAAGGATCAAGCCAAGTCAAGCCGTAAACGAACAAGGAAGAGTCAAATTGTGCAGGGCCTTGTGATGACAGTGAAAGGTCAGAAGTCACGTGATCCAATGATGAAATTGGCAGTTCCAAACGTGCAATGCTGTAGGGTGAAGCAAACGGATCCAGTCGGCAAAAACCCTGCAGTGGCAAAAAGAAGCCTGGGTGCACAAAGTCCAAAACCAGGAGGGACAAATCTGAGCACGACATGCCCCACAGAAAAGGTGCAAAGTCGGTGCAGGCAAATCCTCTCAGAGAAGAGAATAAGCCAAGACCTATAGAGTCCAGGATCAGTGAAGAACTTCCAAGTCTCACAGCGCCAAAAATCGACATCGACAAATCGGGTCAAACAAGGCTCCTGATTGGCAGATCAGATCCCGAAAAGGCGAGATCCAACACCAAGAGCGAGGCATCCAGTTTCGACAGCCCAAAGACCAACAGCAACGAGTCCAAGCGACAAAAGCTATGGAGGAACAGTGAAGGCTCCAAATGGAGGTGATCCAACGAAGAAGCCAATGGCTCCAAACGTACCAGCCCGAAAATAGGCATGAAGAATTCAAGATGTGCAAAAGAATGAAGTGATGAAGAGAATCCTAAATGGATGAAGTCCAAGATCAACAGTAAGGAACCAGGTCTTGTCAAGCCGTAGACTAAAAGAGCTGACCCTGGATGACAAAATCCTTGGAGCGACGAGAGGAAGTCGGGATGGGCATAATCCAACACCAGCAGCAGTGGGTCCAAGCGGCAGATGCCGTAGAGCAACAAGCTGAAATCAAGTTGGGTAAGGCTTCGAATTGAAGGCGACAAGTCTACACTCATCAAGTCCAGAAGGGACAAGGTAAAATCAGGACATGTCATACCATAGACCAAAACCACGAAGCCTGCGTGGATGTGGGATCGTAAAGACAATGGCACACCCAAACTTACAGGATCCAACAAGGGCAGAAGGAAGTCCAGCTTTGACAATCCAGAAACAAATGGCAATGATCCTATGTGCAGGCAGCTTCGTAGCAACAACGCCAGTCCCAAGTGCACAAAATCTGAGACAGGCAAAGATGGCGCCGAACAACTCAAGCCATAGACCAACAGTGCAGAGCCAGGCCGACATGAAGATTGTAAGGATGAAGTACTTTCGAATTGGACGAAGTCCAAAACAAAGATGGACGAACCCAAACAGGTCATGCCAAACACGAACAACAAACTGCCAGGTTGGCAAAGAGTTTGCAGTGGCAGGGTCAAGTCAATGTGCGCCAAGTCCAAGATGGAAATGGACGAGTCCAGTCGCGAAATGCCATATGCTGGCAAGGCCAGTCCCAGCCGTGCGAAGCCTCGCAAGGAACATGAGGAGCCAAGAGGCATGGAGTCAGGCAATGACAGCAACAAATCTGAGCACGTCATGCCAAAAAGCAACAGTGCACTTCCTGGCCGAGTAAAGCTGCGAGGCAACAAGGGCAAGTCCACATGGACAAAATCAATGGTGGACAACATGAAACCCAATCGAGCCAAGCCAAAGACCAATGGATTGGAGCTGAAACAAGTAGGACTATGTGAAGATGATGAGAAGCCAAAAAATGTGAGGTCCAAAATCAATAAAACGAGGCCAAGTCGTGCTAGTCCATAGGCCGATGGAGAGCTTTCAATGTGTGCGAAACTTTGCATTGATGATGGGCTATCGATGTTGGAGTAATCCAACAGAAACAGGAGAAACTCTGAGCAGGACAAGCCAAACACTGGCAGCGTGGAACCTGAGTGCATAGGGCTTCGTGATAACAATGAGAATTCAGGATGAGCACAATCAATTGTAGGAGGTACTGATTCCGAACGAACCACCCCGAAGACCAATGGAGGTGAACCTAGGCGAACAAAGCTGTGCAGGGATGGACTCAAGCCAATGTTGACGAAGTCTGAGACAAGCAACATGAAGTCGGGACGACTCATTCCATATACTAACAGCAAGAATCCGACGCGAAGGGAAGAGTGCAGCAATGGTGCTGGGTCAGAGTGGGAAAGGTCCAGAGTTAAGAGAGTCAAGCCCAAGCGGCACAAGCCATAAATCAGCGCGACCAGGTCGAAATGTGCGAAACTTCGAAGAAACAAGAACGAGTCCAAGTGAATGAGGTCAAGGACTGAAAAGGTGAGTTCAATCCTCATGATGCCAAACACCAACATCGGCGATTCTGAGCGGCAATATGAGCGTGAGGACAGTATGAATCCAGAATGCGCAAAATCCAGCACCAGCAGGGTCGACTCTATTCTGGCTAGTCCATAGACTGGAAGCACGGAACCAACACAACAGTGGGCCTTCAAAAGCATAAAGCTTCCAGAATTTGCTAGGTCCAACAACGGCAAACTGAGTTCAGGACATGTGAAACCATAGGCTGACATGGAACTTTCGGCCCGCGCCATGGCTCTTGGTGATGACATCGGGCCTAAGTGGATGAAATCCAAGATGAACGTCAAAGAGTCACACTGCGAAACACCATAGGTGGATGGTGTCAAGCCTGCTTGGACATAGGCTTGCAATGAGATTGTGCTTCCCAGATGTGCATGATCCAAGATCAACAGTGGGAAGTCAAGCCTGGCAAGGCCATAAACGGATGATAGGAAGCCTAGTCGCACATGCGACCTCAACAACAAGGCTGAATCAAAGTGCAAAAGATCCAGCATCGAAGAGGACAAACCAAGTCGTGCCAAACCAAAGACTGGCGAAGACAAACCAATGCACGCAAACATGTGTGACGAAAATGGCAGACCAGGTCGAATAAGATCCAGCACCAATAGTGAGAAGTCGATTCTGGACATGCCATAGGTAGGTAAGGTACTCCCTGGTTAAGCGGAGCTTCTCATCGAAGTCGCCAAGTCTGAGTTGAAGGAATCGGGTGAAAGCAAAGAGAAGCCCAGCCGCGATAGGCCATAGGTTGGAAGCAAAAATCCCAGGCAAGAAAATGCTCTCAAGAACAGCAAGAATCCATAATGAAAATGATCCGAGATCAGCAAGAACAAGTCCAATCGAACCATGCCATAAACCAATGACGCCAAGTCTGGTTGAGCCAATGCTCTGAGTAAGGGTGGAGATCCTACACTTACACGGTCCAATACAAACAATGCAAAGTCTGGACGTGTCAAGCCATAAACAAACAGTACGCTGTCGACTCGCGCTGGAGCTCGGAAAAACACAGGGCTGCCGGTCATGGTGAGATCCAGTACCAACAAAAATGAGGCCAACCGGGTAATGCCGTAGGCGGACATTTTGACACCTAATCTTGCAGATGCTTGAAGCAAAAACAAAAAATCAACATCGATATAGTCCAGCATGAATGAAGGGAATTCTAATCGCGACAGGCCGTAGAGCAACATGAGGGAACCGAGTTGAGCATGGCCTTGCAAGGACGTAAGGCTTTCTGGGCTGATGAAGTCTAAGACCAAGAGTGAACAGTCCATACAGGAGACGCCAAACATCAATGATGTGGGGTCGATGTGAGTGAGGCTTTGTGTCGACATGGAGAAGCCTGACATCACAAGGTCCAAGATTGACATGCTCAAGTCCAAACTTCCTAAGCCATAAGCAGATAGTGATGGTTCAACTTAAAGGTGACTCCTCAGTGACATGAATGGCCCCAAATGTACATAATCCAGAATGAACAGCAGCGAATCTGATCAAAACATGCCATAAACCAGTGGCAGCAAGCCAAGGCGCATGTAGCTTTGCAGAAGCAGCAAGAAGTCAGGCAGCGCGAAATCAATGACCAACAAGATTGGCTCAGGTCTAGCAATACCATAGATCAACAGCGTGGAATCAAAGCAATAGAAGCTGTGCACCAATGACAGCGGTTCAATGTGAATGAAATCCAGCACCAATATCATAGGCCCAGGTCTGGACAGCCCGAAAGCCAACATCAAAGGGCCGAAACAAACATACGCACGCAATGACAAGCCCGATCCCAAGTGTGCGAGATCTAAGACAAACAAGGGAAAGCCAGTTCATGCCATACCGTAAGCCAATAGAGGCAAACCAATGTGAGCAAGGTAACGCATCAGCAAAGGAGGTTCAAAGTGTGCAAGGTCCGACGCTAGCAGAATTGACTCTGGGCACATCAGGCCATAAGCCAACATTGCCGAGCCGAAACAGGCAAGGCTCTTGAGAAACAGTGAACTGCCCAAGTGTACAAAATCCATGACCAACAACATAGAGCCCAGTCTTGACATGCCATACAGGAAAAGTGCAAGGTCCAGTTATGTAAAGCTATGCGAGGACAGGGTGCTACCAAAAGTCATGTGATCCAGTGGCAACAGGGGCGATCCTGGCTTGCAAAATCCGAAGGCCGACAGTGCTGAATCAATGTGTATGGATGACCTGGCTGAAACGATGAAGTCCAACTGCAAAAAGTCCAACACCAAGAGGGACAAGTCCAATCGAGCCACGCCATAAACCAATGGACTTGGCTCAGTTCTTGCAAGACTGCGTAATGATGAGATGAAATCCAGGCTTGCCACATCCGAGATTAAAAGAGGTGATTCAGGGCACGAAATGCCATAGACTGATGAGGACACACCAAGTTGGCATAAGCCTTGTGAAGGAGGTGTCAATCCAAAGAATCCAATGTCCGGAATCAGCATCGGCAATCCCGACCTGGTCATGCCAAAGACCAACAAAAAAAGCTCTATATATGCAAGTGAACGGAGAGGCAACACTGATTCGATGTTGATAAAATCAAGCACTGAGAGACTGGAGCCAATGCATGCCAGGCCAAAAACGAATGTCACAGAGCCTACCGTTATGAATCCTCGAAGTGGCGGCACCAGGTCCATTTGCACATGGTCCAATGCCAGCATCATAAATCCCAGGTGCATCATGCCATAGATTGATGATTCCAAGCCCAAACAGAAGACATTTTGCAAAAAAAGGGCTGAACCCATGTGGATGAAGTCCAAAACCAAAGTGCTCAATCCAAGTCTTGTGAGGCCATAGATGAGCATGCTGGATCCCATTTGTGCGTGACTCCGTAAAAATGGTGGAAAGCCAACCTGGATGAAGTCCAGAACCAACAGTGACGAGTCTAAACATGCCATGCCATAAACTGACAAAAAGCTGCCAAAGCATGAATGAAATCGCACTAACAACGGTGGGCCCATGTGTCCAAAGTCAAGCGAAGACAGCATGAAACCTAATTTCGTCATGCCATAAACCAACAAGGCGAAACCAGGATGTCCATGATATCGCAAGAACAGCAAGGATCCCGGGTGCACAAAATCTAAGACCAACATGCTGGAGCATAGGATTGTCAAGCCATAAACGAACAGCAGAAAGCCGGAGCAGCAGAAGCTTCTCATGGACAATGTGAGGCCTGAGTGCAGAAGATCCACTACCAGCAATGAAAAGTCCAAGCATGTCATGCCATAGACCAACAAATCGCCATCTAAACATCCTGGGCTTTGTGAGGATAAGGAAGAGCCCAGCATGAAGAAGTCCAAGGCAAACATAGAGAAGCCTGACCTTGTGATTCCAGAGGCTGACATCAGCAGGTCCAAGTAAACCAGACTGTGCAAAGACACAAAAAAGCCAAAGTGACCAGGATCCGGCACAAAAATGGACAAGTCTGAGCGTGTCAATCCGTAGACAAATGTGGAAGGTCCAACCCACATAAGTGCCCGTGGCAACGGCGAAAAGCCAATTTCGATGGCATCCAGCACCAGCAGCAGCAGCTCCAAGCGAGACAAGCCAAAAACCGGCGATGTGAAGCCGATACGCAAGGACGATTGCGGTGGCAATGGTGAGCCGAGTGAAACGATGTCAGGAGCGAATGAGATTGATCCCAATTGCGCCAGGCCATAGGCTGACAATGAGAAGTCAGGTCGTGCGAGGCTTTGCAACAACAGAATGGAACCAAAACAGACCAGGTCCAGCACAAATAAGGATGACTCCAGTTTTGACATGCCATAGGCAGATGGGCTGAAGCCAAGATGGGCAAGACCTCTCAATGAAAACATGGAGTCACAAGTGATGAAATCCAGTACCAATAGAGGGAACCCAAGGCAACACATGCCGAAGACCAATGGCAAAGAGTCAGTTCGGATAAAGCTTCGAAGGCTCAAGGAACTCGAAAGTTGAACGAAGTCCAAGATCGACAGCAGCGAACCCAAGCATGCCATGCCATAAGCAAATAAGAAGAACTCCAGTCACACGAAGCTTTTTGACGAAGTCGAACTCTCTAAATGGACAAAGTCCAAAGGCAACGATACAAATCCAAGGCAGGTCATCCCAAACGCCAACAGCTTGGAGCCCAGGGCAAACATGCCATGTAAAAACAGTAACAAGTCCAACTGGACGAGGTCTAACACGGACAAGAAACTTTCGAGCGTTGAGAATCCATAGGTGGAGATCGCAAGGTCAATTCACGCAAATCCACGGGGTGGTAAGGTGAGGTCCAGATTCACGGGATCCAGGGTGGGCAGGGACAGGTCTGACCGCGTATGACCATATAAGAATATCAGCAGCTCCAAATGAACAAAGTTTCGTGGCAAAGGAGCGAAGTCCAACTGAAGGAAATCCAAGACTAACAGCAACGAGCCCAGTTTGCTGATGCCATAGATGGATGCCGGAGAACCGAATCGCATGGATGTCTTGAGCAACGATGAGCTTTCGAGATTCACGAGATCCATGACAAATGACATGGAGCCCAGTTGGCTTACGCCATACAAAGGAGGCACGAATCCCAAGTGCACAAAGCTACGAGGTGGCAGCAAACTGCTGAGCGTCATGCAATCCAGGATCAACATTGAGCACCCCGGACAGGCCATACCAAATGCAGGCAACAAGAAGTCGAAGCGACAGAAGGACCGGATGGACGCCAAAGATCCAGAATGCATGTGGTCCAAAGCTAAGGGCAAAAGTCCCAGACGAGTGGCTCCATACATCAACATTTTTAAGCCCGCTCGGATGAGACTTTGTAAGGAAAGTATAGAGTCTGAGATCAGAAAATCCAGCACTGATGTCAGAAAGCCTAGACGTTGCATGCCATATACCGACAGAACAGAGTCAAGTCGCACGAGGCTTCTCGCGGAAAGTGTCAAGTCGGTGTGTATTAAATCAAGGGGAGAGGGAGGTAAACCCAAGCGCAACAAACCATAGGCAGGGAGTGAAGGTCCGAAGCGAACATATCTCCGGAGGGACGTGGTGAATTCTGGATTCACGAAATCCAAGACGAACAAGCTGCTTCCAAGGCAAGCAATGCCAAAAACCAAGGGGCAAAAGTCTAAATGGAAAAAACCTCGCAGTGACATGATCAATGCCAGGCTCACAAAGTCTGAGACCAGCAATAAGGATCCACAGCATGCCATTCCATAGATCAACAAGAAACTCTCCGAATGAGAAGATTTTTGCAATGATAAAAAGGAACCTAATCCCACGAGATCAAGAATCAGCGATGTGAATTCCAAGGTCGTAAAGCCATAGACTAAAATGGGACTCCCAAGGTGCAGCATACTTCTCGTCAGCATCGCGGATCCAATCTGTAAGGAATCCAGGACCAACGTTGTGGACTCCAGTCGTTGAAAGCCATAAAGAAGCAAACACAGCCCTGCATACATGAATGTCCTCAAAAATGATGGCAATCCCAAATGCACTGCGTCGAGAATCAATGTCATGAAGTCTAAACAAGTCATTCCGTAGGCCAATAGCAAGAAGCCAGTTCATGCAAAGCTATGTGCCAACGTGGTCGACCCAATGTGCACAAAATCCAAGACCAATAAAGTGAAGTCCATTCGTGTTGTGTCAAAGACGGAAGTCACCAAACCAAATCGAGTAAAACAACGGATGAACATCATCGAAGCTGGGTAAGTCAAGCCCAGGGCGAACAGCAATGGCTCCTCAGCGGACGTGGTGCCAAGTCGGAAGGGAAAGTGCAACGGGAGATGTTGAGAAAGTCAACTCAGATGGAGTAATCATTCATAGATTCGCATTTGCACTCAACCCCCATAATATATATATATAATATATATAATATATATATATAATACAGATTTATACAGCAATGCAGCACAAACTGGATCTTGGCATAGCACCTTGATAACCTCTGTTCCAAGCATGTTGGTATAACCTACACAACTTACAGCTGTACTGTGTTGCTATGTCTTGGTTTTACCCCACAAAACGTCTCCAGATATCCCTATGTAGAATTATGTGCAGATGAGTGCATCACTGCGTATCAAGCCCCTTTTGCAATGTCCAGATCCTTTTCACAACTTGTCACTTTCGCGCAAGAAATGCAATATCAAGTTTTAGATTCCCTTGATCCACAAAATCCCATCATGCCATCAGGTTGAGGAAGTCTAAGTATAAACATGGTACCATTGAATACCCATGTATAAAGATCTCTAAACCGCATAGCCGGCATAGGCGGCGTAGCCCTCCAGAGTCCATTCAGCCGAGCAACTAGCACCGAACATCCGTAGAGCAGCAATGTGCTGTCCAAGCGCATGTAGCTTCGCAGGGAAAACAAGGACCCCATTTGAAGAAAATCCAAGGCTAAAGGCGACGGACCTAGCTGCGACAAGCCAAAGACCAGCAGTGAAAAGTCCAAACAACAAAGGCCTTGAGGAGATGAGAACAGGCCCATATGAATATAATCCAGGATCAAGGCTGAACTGCACAGCCAGGCCATTCCATAAATCGACGAAATGGAACCAAGTCAGATGAAGGACTGCAACGGTGGAGAAGGTTCAAGTCTCAAGAAGTCCAGCACTGAAAGACTCGGGTCCGGTCGAGTCATCCCGTAGACGAACAAGATCAAGTCAGTTCACAAAAAGCTTCTCGCCAACAAGGCACTGTCCATCTGAATGAAATCCAACACAAATGCAGCGTTTTCTGAACATGCCAAGCCGAAGATCGATAGCAACAAGCCCAGGCGAGTGGAGCTTTTAAGAAACATGCTGGATCCCATGTGAATGAAATCCATCAAGGATGGCAGCAAGTCAGGTCCTGTGATTCCATAGACCAAAATGGTCAAGCCCAGGTGCATGAAGCTTTGGAGCGAGAGAGTTGGGCCGAAGCAGTTGTAATCCAAGACTAACAAGATAAATCCCAAACAGCTCATTCCATATGCAAACAATGTCAATCCAAATCGCATGAATGACCTGAGACTCATGAATCCTCCAATCTCAACAGGATCAAGTACCAACGGAATCAGGTCTGGTTGCGACATGCCATAGACTGACAGTACTGGCTCTAGGCAAAGAAAAGATCTGGGTAAAAATGCCAAGTCAGAGTTTGCATGATCCAAAAGGAACAAAGATGGTCCCATGCAGGTCATGCCATAAACCAATGGAGTGAAGTCCAAGTGACAAAAAGATTGTAACAATGAGGTAGATTCGAAAGATCCAAAATCCAACAAGAACAGTAGGAAGTCCAGTTTCATCAAGCTAGACACCAATGAAACTGAGCCTGATCAAGAAAATGAGCGCAAAAACGGGGTTGAAGCTGGGTTCAAGAAATCCAAGGCCAGAAGTGAGCTTTCTAATCAAGACATGCCAGAAAGAGACAGAGGTGAGTCCATCCGCAGGAATCCTTGTAGTAGCGACATTGACCCAATATTGGCATAATCTAACAACAGCAGCAACAAAGCTGGGCGCGTCATGGCATAGGTGGAAATTGACAGATCAAAATGAACGAAGGATCTGACCAACATGATGCTGCCAAAGACTATCTCATCATCCACGTACATCAAAAAGCCTAAGCACGATGAGCCGGAAGCGGGGGTTGAAGGGCCCAAGTGGCATGAGCTATGTGGCAACAATAGGAATTCCAGATGAACATAGTCAAGGATCAGCAGTGGAAAGCCCAAACGGCTAGTTCCATATATGGATGACAGTAGCTCAAAGTTCACAGAGCTGTGGAGAAAAGTCATGAACTCGGTACTCACAGAGTCCAAGACCAACAAAGAAAAGTCCAACCAGGCCATGCCGTAGATTGAGAGCCCTAAATCTGGCCGAACGAAGCTACGGAAGGACAAGAACAGCTCCAGACTCACAGAATCCAAGGCTGACAGAGAGAGCTCCATCCAAGCAATGCCATGGATCAAGGGGGCGGAGTCTAGATACATGAAACTTCGCAAGAAGAATTGGCTGCCAAAATGCAAAGGATCCAAAACCGACAAAGCAAATTCCATTCGCATCAAGCCGTAAGCCAACAGCATGGAGCCTAAGTGGGTGAAGCTATGAAGTGGCACTGTTTTGCTGATGCTCACATGGTCCAGCACAAACAAGGACGAACCCAAACGTGTCATGCCCCATGCAGATGGAGAAAGTCCAAGTCGCAGGAATGTGTGCAAAGATGAAACCAACTCCAGCTGCACAAAGTCAAGGACAAACGACGGAAGCTCTAATCACGACATGCCAAAGACCAGTGGGGGCAGTCCGGTCCGTACTGGGCTTTGCAGCAAGGTGGATGATCCCAAAATCAGGAGGTCCAATGTCGAGGCCGAAAACTCCAAACGTTTACAGCCATACAACAAGAGACGCGGCCCGAAGCAAACATGGCCCTGCAAAGGCGATAAGCTTCCCAACGTCACACGATCTAGAGCAGGTGAGGAAAAATCAAGACATCCCACACCATAAAGTGATGAAAAGAAGTCTAACTTTGCATGGTTTCGCAGTGACAAAAAAGACTCAATGTGCACATAGTCTGAAACCAACAAGCAAAAACCAAAGCGCAACTGACTGAAGACTGAGAATGAAGGCTCCAAGTGGCTGAACGAATGGAAAAACAATGAAGACCCCAAGCATGCGTGGTCAGGTACGAACAAACTCAAGTCCAAACACATCATGCCATAGACCGGTAAAGCAAAGTCGATTCAAATGGGGCTTCGCAACGGCATGGCCGAGTCCATGAGGACAAGATCAGGTGTTGACAATGTGAATTCCATCCATGTCATGCCGTAGAGAGAAATCACGGAGCCCAATTGGGCATACGATCGCATCGACAGGAAGCTACCGAGGTGCAAGAGATCTGGTGCCAGTGATGTCGATTCGAGTTTTGAAACTCCGAAAAGTGGTAGGAAGAGCTCTGACCAAGCAAGGCCTCTGGGCAACATGGAGAAACCCATCTGAACAAAGTCCGACAGGGACAGGGGAAAATCTGAACGACTCATTCCCTCAGTTGGCAGTGAGAACTCTGATCTGGCAGGTGACCTCGATGACAATGTGCTTCCCAAGCTGGCAGGGTCCAAGGCTGAAAGCAATGGCTCCGACTGCGACATTCCAAACACCAACAACACAGAGCCCAGCTGGACGAAAGTTCGCAAAAACAGTATGAAGTCGACGCTGCACCAGTCCAGAAGAGAAAGGCTAAAACCCGGCCGCATAATGCCCCAAACGAATGGAGAGAAATCGATTTGAGCAGGGCTTTGGAGGAATGATGGAAAACCCAGTTGCACAAAGTCCAAGGTTGACACAGAAGTCATACAACTGATACCGTAGGGTGACATCGAAAATCCGATTTGCATGAAACTTTGCGAAGAGGGCGAAAGGTCCAGTTGAAGATGGTCAAGGGTGGACAAAGGGAATCCTGGTCGTGCTGAGCCACTCACAGGCAACATGAAACCAAGTCACAAGAAGCTCCTCGTAAGCAGCACAAGGTCCAGCTGGAAAAAATCCAAGGCAGATGAGAAAAAGCCCAATCTTTCCATGCCAAAGACCGATAAATTCAGTTCAAATCTCACAAAGGACCTCAGGAACAGCGACAAGTTCAGTTCAATGAAATCCGATGTCAACATCACGGGACCCAGACAAGCCAGGCCAAAGACCAACGACGTGAGTCCGGAGCAAACGGGGCTCCGTGGCGGCAAAAGAAGGCCAACGTTCATCGAATCCAGAACCAACAGCAGGAGGTCCAGACATGCCAATCCAAACATCAACACCAGAAAGTCAATTCACATAAAGCTCTTCAAGGATGGCAATAAACCAATATGGGCCATGTCGATTGCCAAGAGTGCAGAGCCAAGACACACAAGTCCGGAGGCGGGTGATGTACTTTCAGGTTGGCAGGATGATCGGAACGGCATCAGAGAACCTAGAGATACGAGATCGAGTACTGGCAGTTGTGTCCCAATCATCGCCATGCCATAAGGAAGTAAAAGGGAGCCTGTGTAGGAAGAGCTGCGGAGAAACGAGGAGCTTCCAGGCTGAACAAAGTCCGACGCCAGCAAGGTGAAGTCTAGGCATCCCATACCAAATGCTGAGGCCGAAGATCCAAGTCGCAAGAGGCTTCTTGAAAACGTGGGAGATCCAATAGCGATGTGATCCAAGAGTAACAACATCAAGTCCATACGGAGCATGCCGTACACCAGCAGGAATGGGCCATGATGAATGGAGCTGTGCAAAGACATGAAGAAGCCCAAAGACAGAGAGTCGAGCATCAACAACGGAGGTCCAAGGCGACTCATCCCGAAAACGAACAATGCAGAGTCCGATCACATGAAACCTCGGATGGGCGAGGTGCTATCTGAGCTGATCACATCTGAAACTGGCGACAAGAAGTCCAAACGACTAATGCCAAAGAGCAACGATGAAGATCCCAGATGTAAGAAACCCCTTGAAGATAAAATGAAGCCTAAGGAAATGAGATCAATCACTAACAGCAAAAGACCCAGTCGTTGCATTCCATAGACCGACAATGAAAATCCTGAACGACACAGACCCCGTGGCAGCGACAGAAGGTCGAGATGAGCAAAATCCAGGGCAAACAGCAAACTGTCCAAGCAAACCAGACCATAGAGAGAAGGAGATGAACCAATTTGCATGAGTCCTTGAAGCAACAAGGGAAGGTCAAAGTCAGAAAAATCCAGAACTAGCAGCAAAAGCTCCGAACAAGAGATGCCAAAAGCTAGCAGCGAGAAACCTAAACATGCGAATGATCTGGTGAACAGCGAGAATTCAAGTTGGATATGATCCAGCAAAGTCGTCAAGGAATCAGGCCTGCACAGTCCGTAGGCCAACAGCGGCAACTCAAGATGCATAGAACCTCGCAAAAACAGCATAGGACCTAGATGAATACAGTCTAGCAGAAACATGGTGAGTTCTGACCAGGTCAAACCGAAGACCAACAGACTAAGTCCTAGTTGGCAGAAGCTCTGCAACAGCAAGGAGGACCCGAAGCTCATAGAGTCCAGCAGCAGCGACAGCGGTTCCACTCGCACACAACCGTACGCGAACATGGGTGAACCCAAACGTGCAAAGCTGTGTAAGGAAAGAAAACTGTCAATGGTCACAAAATCAAGGGTTGACAGTAGCAGTTCCAGACAAGCTGTCCCATAGGCCGACAACACACTCCCAGGTTATGCGGAACTCCGTGGAAACAACAAGAATCCCAGCACGACAAAGTCCAATACAGGTGGTGTAGATCCCATACAGGACATGCCATAGGTGAAAATCATACTTCCAAGACGCAAAGAGTTCCTTGGAAATGGTGCGAAGCCCATCTCCGAAAAGTCTAAGGCCAACAGGCTATGTCCCAATCTTGAAACGCCATACACAGAGACGGAAGACTCTAAGCATCCAAAAGATTGCAGGAACAGCAAGAATCCCATGTGCACGAAATCCAAGGCTGAGGACGAAGGGCCAAGTTGCGCCAAGCCATAGACCAATATCAAACTCCCAAGTCGTGCGTAGCTTCTTAACAAAAGACCGCTGCGGAAATTGGCAAAATCGTAGAGAGACATCGCATCGCCCAATTGGATAGGTGAACTTAGCAACATGGAACTGTCAAGTGATACAAAGTCAAGAGCAAATAAAAACTCTCCCAAACAAATCAAGCCAAAGGCAAAAAACAACAAGCCCGTTCGACAGTAGCTTTGCAGGGACAAGCATGAACCAATGGTTGCAAAATCCAGTAGAGGAAGCGTTGAATCGAGACGAGTCATTCCGTAGAGTGATAGGGATGGGTCAGATCGTGCATAGCTTCGTACAGGACACGCTGATTCAAAGTCGTTTGGGCCATAGACCTTGAGGCCCGAAGCTATGTCCAAAGGTCCCAGCATAAACATGAAGAATCCCAAGTGTGCAAGAGCCCTCAGGGAAGTTGCGAAGCCCAGAGTCACAAAGTCCAATGCTGATAAGGTGAAATCTGAACAAGCCATGCCATAGGCAGGAAGTGAAAAGTCAAGCCTTGAGAAGGATCTGAAGGACATGAAACTCTCCGTCCAAGCATATTCCAAGGCCAACAATGGCAACTCCAAACATGCGACTCCATAGAGTGGCAAAGCAAAGTCACAACAAACGAAACTTCGAAGAAACAACGAGGAGCCTAACTGCAGGTAGTCCAGAATCGATGGAGAGAAGTCCATGCAAAGCACGCCATAGACAAACAAACCTGGATCTGATTAGGCAAAAGTTTGGGACGACAAGAAACTTCCCATGCTGGCAAAATCAAGAGCCAACAGGAATGGCTCTGTTCGAGTCAGGCCATAGACCAAAAGCTGGCTCCCCAGCCGAGCGAAGGTTCTGCACGACAACAAGGAACCAAATTCGGTGAGATCTAAGGCCAATATCAACAGTTCTGATCTGGTGCAGCCAAAGGCGGGCAATGAAGGGTCTAATCACATGGGGTTCTTCACTAACATCACCAAACCAATGTGGATGAGATCCAAGGTTGATAGCAGAAAACCCAAACAAGTCATGCCAAAGACCAACATGATGAAACCCAGTTGGACGAGGCTTCTGACAAACATGAAAAAGTCCACATTACAAGAATCGAGGACTAGCGGTGAATCTCCCAATCTAGACATCCCGTAAACCAATGAAAACAGGTCAACGCATGCAAAGGATCGCGCCGGCATGAAGCTGCTCATGCGTGCATAGTCAAGCGTTGACGTCAACAGCCCCGAACAGATCATGCCGAAGACTGGCATGGTGAAGCCAATTCTTGAGGAACCTCTCAGTAGCAATATGGGCTCCGGGTGAGCATAGTCCAGCAAAAGTAGAAGGGAACCCAAACAGGACATGCCGTAGACTGGTATGAGGAAATCTGAGCAAGTGTGTGTCCGAAGCGGTATGACTGAGCCCAAATGAACAAAGTCAAGAGCAGGTGGTATACTTCCAAGGGCTGTCATGCCATACATGAAAGGGAAGAAATCTAGACACACCAAACCATGGATGAACGATGGAAAGTCCAAGTGCACGAGGTCCAGGATCGACAGTAGAAACCCCAGTCGAGCCGTTCCATAAGCTGAAGGAGACAAGCCCGTGCACAAGAGACCTCTCAACAACAAGGAGGGGCCCAAGTTCACGTAGCTCAGAATCAACGAGAATGGCTCTAGTCACGCCATCCCAAAAATTGATGACATGCTACCAGGGCACACGCAGCCATGCAGAGATGCAACCGAGTCAAGTTGAACCCAGTCCAAGATTGACATGAATGGATCTGGACGAGTCAGGCCATAGATCAGTGTTGCGGAACCCAAGTGACCTAAGGCTCTGAGAGACAAGGAGCTGCCAATATGTACATGGTCAGGGACCAGCAGTGGAAATCCAGATCTGGTCAGACCATAAGCTGACGGTGTGAGGCCAATATTCATGGGTGCCCGAGGTGACAAGAACGAGCCCAGTGTTGACACGTGCAACGGAAACAAGAAAAATCCTAGCCGTGCCATGCCATAGACGGAAAGGGCCGACCCTGTGCGCATGTGTGACCGGAGCGACACGGACGAGCTCATCATCACGAAGTCAAGAGCCAACAGCACCGAACCAAGCCTGGATAGCCCAGAGACGAATAGCATTGGGTCAAAACGCAAGGATGATTGAAGCAACGTGAGAAAGTCCATATGCAAAAGATCCAGCACAGAAAAGACGAAACCAAGTCGAGTCATGCTATAAAGCGAAATGGCCGGGCCAAAGCGTGCAAAGCTCCTGGGTGATGGGAACAAACCTAAGCTCAAGAGGTCCGGCAAGAACAGAGCGGAGCCAATCCATGTCATTCCATATGCCGACAGCGCCAGGTCTATCTTTGCATATGAACGCAACAGTGTGAAAGATCCACATTTCACGAAATCCAGGGCTGACAACAAGGACGCCAGGCAAGAGAAGCCATAGGCCAAGAGAGCTGGACCTGGCCGGGTGAAGCTTTGTGATGATGATGACAGGCCCATACCCACGAAGTCTGACGTCAACAACGAGAGTCCCAAGCAGCTCATGCCCCAAACCAACAACACAGGTCCAGAGCAGCTGTGGCTTCGCAGTGATGAGATGCTACCCACATGAATGAGGTCCAACACCGGTGCCACAGGATCCAGCCAGGACATGCCAAAGACTGACAAGGCGGGATCTAAACATGCGAATGCCTTCGACAATGGCAACGAGCCCAAATGTGCAAAGTCAAGTGCCAACATCAAAGACCCCAGGCGTGCCATTCCAAAGGTCAAGAGAGCCGAGCCTGAGCACGTAAGCCCTTGCATCAACAAAAGGGAGCCAAGATGCAACAAGTCCAAGACAAAGAGAGAAAATCCAAGTCGCAGCATGCCATAAACCAACATCGAAGATTCAAGGCGAGCGCTTGCCCTTGGCAACACCAAGGAACCCGGACTCAAAAGATCCAACATTGACAGCACCAAATCAACTCGAACCATCCCGAAGACCAACAAAGGCAATTCTGCCCGACAGAATCCGTGTAACAACAAGGGACTCTCGAAATGGATAGGATCCAGTGCCAAAGTCAACAAGTCGGGACATGACATGCCATAGACTGACAACAAGGAGCCCAAGCGCATGGAGCTGCGTAGCAACAGCAACGGTCCGAAGGTCGTAAAGTCAGAGATCAACAACAGCAATTCTGATCGCATCACACCGAAGAGCAAGATTGAAAAGCCAAATCAAGCCATGCCATGTAAAAATGTGAAAGGGTCTAAATGGAAAAAATCCAAGGCCAACAGGCTCAATTCCAAGCAACTCATGCCAAAGACCAATGAGGTGAATCCTAAACAAACACATCCTCGAAGCGACAAGAAGCTTTCCAACTTCAGAGAGTCAGGGACCAATGGAGCTGGGCCAAGTTGGGTTGTTCCATAGACCTGTTGACCCAAGGCAATCCTGGCATAGGCTCCCACTAAAGGTGAAGATCCCATGTTGGTTAAGCTCAACACCAACGACATGAGGCCCAACCGTACCATGCCATAAACAAATGGCAAAAATTCAAATCTTGCGAAGCCCCTCAGGAAGATTCCCAGGCCCGCATGAGCAAAGTCCAGGGTCAATGAGATGAAACCTGAGTGGGACAAGCCATAAACCAACAAGACCAGATCGATTCTCACTGAAGCTTGTGGGGACACCGACAATTCCAAGCTCAAGAAATCCAGAGCTAATGATGATGGACCAGGTCGAGCCATGCCGTACATGGAGACTGGGGGACCGGGACACACCATGTTTTTCGAAGACATCACAGAGCCGATGTGTGAGAAATCAAGGACGGACAAGAAAGGACCCAGCCGAGCCATGCCATAGGTCAACATTGAGAAGTCCATCTAAGCGGAACATCTCAGCAACACAGTTGGTCCCAGAGATGCAAAATCAAGGACCAACAGAAAATTGCCCAAGACATTGCAGCCGGACGATGACAATAACAGTCCCAGATGTGCGAAGCCTCTGATGGATAGGGAGGAACCTATCGACACAAGGTCCGGTGTTGGAGGAACGGATCCTGGCCATGACAAGCCGAAGACAAACAGGAAGAATCCAAGGCGGGCAAAGCTTGTGACTGAGAGGCCACTGCCGAGTTCTGCCTTGTCGGAAACCAACGATGCCGAGCCCAACCTTGCCATGCCCCAAATCAATGGGCAAGGGCCTGAACGTGAGAAACTCCGAGGTGAAAGCAAGAAGTCAGCATTTACCAAGTCAGGGACTGACAAACTGAAACCAAGTCAACCTAGGCCATAAACGGACAAATCTCCTGCCAACTGTACAAAGGTTTTGGCCAATGAAGGGGAACCTGCCATTGCATAGTCCGAGGCAAACAATGCTGAGCCAGGCCAAGATAATCCATAGGCCAATAAGGAAAAACCAAAATGTAGGAGGCTACTTAGGGACATGGATGATCCCAAGCTGGCAAAGTCCAAGACTGACAATGCAGGTCCCAAACAGCTCATACCATAGGCAAACATCAAGAAGCCAAGTCGGGCAAAGTAATGCAAGGACAGCCCTGAGCCAATATTCACATAATCCATCGCTGACAGAACGACTCCAAGTCGCACAGTGCCATAGATGGGCATGGACGAACCAAGTCAAACGAAACCGCGGAGGAATAAAGAGGATCCCAGGTGCAGATAATCCAAGACCAATGTCACGGGTTCAAGGCGTGACATGCCATAGAGTAAAGCCAACAAACCTAAATGTACATAACTACGAGCCGACATCGATTTACCAAAGTTGGTAAAGTCCAACAACGAAAGCGAAAAACCCGGTCGGGCTGTTGAGTACACCAAAATGGATAAACCAATCTGCCCAGGAGTTCGGATCGACGAAGAAAAACCGAAGTTGGCAAAGTTCAAAGCTGACGAGGCGCTTCCAGGGCGCATGGTACCATAGAGTGAAGCAGACGAGCCAAATCTGGCAGGACTTTTCAAAGACGAAGAGGATCCCAGGTGGCACCAATCTAGAATCAACAACAAACTGCCGAGGCATGCTAAGCCGTAGGTGGACGTGATGCTACCAAATCATGACCAACCTCTTAAGGATGCAGATGGCCCGAAGTGTGAAAAATCCAAGATCGATGGGCAGAATTCTAAGCGACTCATGCCATAGGCCAATGGAGAAAATCCACATCAGGTGAGTGTCCGGAGGGAAAATGAACTCCCAGCATCTACAAAATCCAAGGCTGAAAGCGAACTTTCCAGTCAACCTCAGCTCGGAGCTGGTGGAGCTCTGATGATCTCAATTTTGCTACCTACAAATGTTTCACCATGTTTCATCATGTTTCACCCTTTTTTGTGCCATGTGATCCAAGAGTGAAAGGTATACCAACACCGAGTTCGCCTTTCAAAGTTGGAGGGCAATTCTGAAAATTCTGGGGATGGATTGCCCTGGATTTCGCCAAGCAGCACAAACCGTAGATCAATGAAGCACTCCCAAATCGGCTCAGACTCCGTGCTGACGTGAAGGAGCCAAAGTCACTTTCTTTCAGCACTGGCATTGAATTTCCGAAACCTGAGCTGGAGATGGTCATAGATGGTCCCAATGGTCCCAGGTGTCACCCGGTCGAGTTTTCTCATGTTCAAAAGGTCCGTAAAAGGTCCATGAATCCATGAAGGTCCCACAGACTGCGAAAAACAAAATTCTGAATGTAGAGCCACACGTACATTGGTATACATTGGTCATATCATTATATCATATGTAACGACTGGACATGTGCAAATCATTCGAACCTACCACACCATGGGCCAGAACGGCACCGAACGGCACCGAACCGCACCGAACGCCGCTGCGCCACTGCGCCACTGCGTCTGTCCGTCAGCTGCGGCTCCCGACGTGCACTTTGCGTCTGCGACAACGAGCTGCCCAATCGCGTGAAGCTCGCCACCGACGAGGAACTCCCTAAGGAGGCAAAGTCCTGGTTGTGATGAGCTGACAATCTGACACAAAAAATGCAATCTGACAAATCTATACAAATCTGACAATCTGGTTAGTGTTATTTCAAGTCAAAGTTTCAGGACCCCTCAGGATCAGAGCTGGAAAGGCGCTGATATGATCATATCAGCCACGTAATGAATGTAATGATATTTAATATAATGTATATATAATGTATATATAAGATATTTTGAATAGAAAGTTAAGAAAAGAATAGAACAGAATAGAAATGAATAGAATATATTAAATTGTGGATATTGGGGGACTAGGCTGAAAGGATCTGAAAGGTGAGTTGCTCTCATACACCTTAAAGTCACCTGAAAGTTTCAGCAATTTCAGCGACCTTGATGGAGAGCGTATTGCCGAACTGTACAACGCCGAAGATGGACAGCGACGAACCTGTGAAAATGCCCACTGTTTTCGAATCGAAAAACTCTCGTTGTGAACACCGGCCCACTTTCCACCTAAATGCGCGAAGGATGTGACGGACAAAGAGTCTCCAAGTTCGCATTTGTTCTGCAGGGAGAACCTGTGACCTGAGACACCGATCGGAGTGGCGCTTGAGGCGGTGCGACGAGATGGGAACTCTGATTGAATGTCATGATCCTCTGAAGTTCCTGCACATTTCGCATCATTTCGCAAGAAAGGCCCGCAAATGTTGATTGCGCACAATTTCCCGGAAATCAGGTATTGGACCGCTGAAAATAGGGGAAGTCTTTTGGGAAATCTAATGGTTCGACCAAACACACCACCTTCATGTTGCCGCTTAGGCTGCTTCCGAAAGCTTTTTTGACTAATTCAAATTGCTTGACACGAATTCTCACCACGTACCTCATATGGATACTATGGAATGTGTCCAGAGTGGGTACTTCCGAAAGCTATGCCCACAAGAATGCCCACAATTGGGCTGCTCATTATCATCATACCAAGAATGACCATCAATCTGGGCGAAAACCACTTTGTCTGTACATATCCATCTAGAGCCATTTACCTCCATTTTGTTCTTTTCATAGTCTTGTTAAACCATGTGATCGTATCTATACACACATATCTTGTAGAAATACATGTATGAATTCATGTACAAAAGCAGTTATGGTCAACCATGGTGAAGTCATATTAGATTCGAAAACCCATCAAACATCAAAAAAAACATCATAAAAACCATGGTGTTTCACCCAGTTGTTATACACATCACACATCAACAGGAGATGAACGCCACGCTCAGGGCTTCGGCCGTACATGACGGTATCACCGAAGATCTCCATGGAGCTGCCAAAGGTGACCTAAGGTCACGGTCGGTCGTTTCACCCAGGCGATCTGATGGTGGAAAACATGGTTTTCATGATGGTTGATGTCTTAAGTTAATGTCAAAAGGTCCGGTGACAAGCAAAATGAGTTCGCTGCTGGTTTCCAAACAAGCAAAATCAATCAATATCCATCACCGTCAATGAACCTTAGTCTATTTAGGGTCTATATTAATGTCATTTAATGTCTATATTGCATAGTGATGTGTGGACAAAATCAAACTTACAATCCCCAGTGGAAACATATGGAAAACTACGGAAAACTCTGTGTCTGGGCTCCACCGACTCTGTCCAGAATGGACACCGTAGAGGCTAGATTGCCATGTCCACCCACATAGAGCGTGCGACCTCCCAGGCCCGAAATCAGCCCGCAAATTACTTGGAAAACCCAGCAGAAAACCCAGCCGCACAAGGTTGGCATCAGCTGACCCAAACATTAACATTAACAGTAGTTTCCAACATTGACATGTTAGTACTAAGCCAGTAGCTCCGGGACCAGTGAGTCAAACAGCCATGGAAGCATCGAACCCTCACTGGCGCAGTGCCTAAAATAGCTTCATCGTACCTTGGCGGCCAAAAATCACTCCCAGGCCCGCTACCATCAAAAGACCAACAAAAAAGTGACATGAAAATCATAAAACAAACTGATTCAACATGCAAAACATGCAAAAACTCCAAGCAGATTCTGCGTATGTTTTTCGGGCTCCCGGACACGGACAGGGTGCCGCCCAAGTTGGCGGCATCGAAGGCCGAGACGGTGCTATTGAACACGGCCTAACGGTGATAAATAACGGTGGCACGCCATGGCGGCACGCCACTTCAACGACGGTGGATCTCTTAGGTCATGAAATTAATTGTGATGTAGGCATTCCCCCCGGAATAAAGTCAAAGCTCAAAGGCAATTTGAAACAGAAATTGGA